CATGTTGTCCTGTCTTCACAACACAGGGCCAAAGGCACAATTTGGCTGTATACTATCTTTATGTAGAAAGGTCAGTTCCACGGTGAATCTTGGCCATCTCTGTTTAATCTACTTTTTAAAAACTTACCTTTTGCTCTGGATGTTCTCAGAAAATCTGGAGCCTTCTGGAGTGACACTGGGCAGCTGTTTACAACTTGTCCCACTGTCCCACCCACTGCCATGGGTTGCTCCCTCTGAGGTCAGAATGAGGTGCCAAGCCATGTGGTTGACATTGGGCACTTCATTTTCAACCTCAGAGGGAGTGACTTGTGCTAGTGCATGGCACAATGCGATGCACACGTGAACAGCCACCAGCTATCACTCCAGAGTGCCTAGGTAATGGGGGAATTTGGGGCAGCTTTGGGGTCAGAATACTCTGGGTTGCCCCTGGAGTATTCTGGCCAGTGTAGACCCACCTCAAAATCCGACAGAGTGATACCTTTCTTTGTCTTCACTCCTACATGGCCAAAAAAGGTATGGCCTCTACCTACATTGAGATCCCTCCAAACCAACAGAACTACAGCACACAAAATCTATACAAAATGTAGGCCTGTAACACCAACACTGTCACATTTTTAATTCCTTCTATATGATTTTTTAAACATCTTTTGTTTGATGAAGAGGCCGGTGCAACTTCAAAATCTTGCCTTAGGTGTTTTGTGCATTTTGGCTGGCCAATAAAGCTATCAGTCTTTTGAGGGATTTTGGATTTTGTTTTATTCCTATGTTTTTGTAGTGAAATCTCAGGGACAGTCCTGACCTGGCAAATCTACTTGCATCTTCTCAATATATACAAACAATGGCTAGTTTTCTTTTGTTTGCTGCTATCCAGTTGCACACACGTTCTGATTATTTTATTTCTTTGGAAGGCTCAGGAGGTCCAGATAGACTGGTAAATTATGAAGTGAGAATGAGGTCTCAGATGTCTGAGTAGCTCAGATACTAGCCTACAGCATATCGAGAGACCTCAGGCTTAGGAGCTTCTTCCTTCAGTGTGGGTCTATTCCAGAGTGTGATCATGTCAACGAAGCCTGCTCAATGAAAAGGTAGATTGATTTCTCACACTACATGAGACAGTGATTTACCTGAGGTTAAAAACTGTCTCAAATTAACAAACCAATCCCCCCCTTTTTACTTGTAGGGAGTGTTGATCTATGGGATAGGAGTGAAAAATTAATATTTAGCAGCAAACCTATTGCTGTGCTTCATTATTTTCCTTTAAATATACAAGGAAAGGCACAGGCACCATTTTTCTATTTAATACTTTGTCGCTTTCCTTTTCCCTCTCTAAATGATCACACAACTATCCTGTTCAGAGAGAATTTCTGCAGGGAAGAAATGGGAATATCTACAGGAAGCTACAAGCTTTAGCAAACTGAAGCTGAGTTTAAATCATCCTCACTTTTTTTGGCTAACTATCTGTTCTGAAACATACGTAAGAGGTCTGGGTTTAGATACTTATTCAGCCATAAGGGTCACTGGATGATCTTGGGCCAGCCACTGTCCCTCAGCCTAGTCTCCCTACAGGGTTGCAGAGAGAAGAAAAATTAAGAGGAGAGCCAGCATGTTGTTTTTCACTCCTTTGAGGAAAGGAGAAAGATTAATAATAATAATAATAAATAATTTTTTATTTATAGCCCGCCCTTTGCGCGGCAATCGGAGCGGGGTACAACAATTTTAAAACAGACAAATTAAAACATTCTCTCGTCCCATAATCCACCCTCCCATCCCCTTAAAACAGAATTTAAATAGAAGACAATTAAAAATACAACAATAAAATAAAAACATCCTTAATAAAACAAGGAATCAGTATAAACAAATTTTAAAATTCATCTATCACCAGACAACAGTTATTCCGGTAAGGACTGCCAAAAGAGATCTGTCTTTACTGCTTTCTTAAAAGCAGCAAGAGTAGTAATAAGACGTATCTCATCCGGCAGGCCATTCCAAAGTCTGGGAGCGGTTGCAGAGAAGGCTCTTTGGGAGGTCTGCAACAGCCTAGTTTTTAGTGGCTGTGGCAGATTCCTCCCAGAGGACCGAAGGGGATCATATGGGGAGAGTCGGTCCCTAAGATAAGATGGACCCAAGCCATGTAGGGCTTTAAAGGTCAAAACCAACATCAATGTAACAGCACCATTAAAAAAAAAAAAAGGCAGACCAACAATTGAGTGTTCAAGTGTCTGGTGTGGTTTACTGCTATCCCTGCTATTAATATAATTTAATTTTATATTTATATGTCACCTTTCTCATAGAGTAAAACCCAAGCACCTCATAGATAAAATTGGTAAAAAACCTTACCAATATAATTAAAAAACAATAAAAATAAGACTGAGGATGCACCCACACTATAGAAATGATGCAGTTTGACATCACTTTAAGTGCTGTAGCGCCATCCTATGGAATCCTGGGATTTGTAGCTTTACATGATTTTTAGCCTTTTCTGCCAAAGTATCTAGTGCCTCACAAAATTACAAATCCCAGGATTCTGCAGGATGGTCCCATGGCAGTTAAAGGGGTCTCAATCTGCATTGTTTCTACAGTGCAGATACACTCGGAGTTAAATGTATCAGTGCACTCACTCAGCATAAAGCTATTTTCTGTCCTCTTCCCCCTGCTTGGCATTTGATGGGCCAAGTCAAATATAAGAATCTACTTCCCTGTGTAGTATGAACTCTACAAAACACAGTTGTTATGCCAACACAGCAATCTTTCCCCTCACAACAAGAGAAGCAAAGAACTCCTTTCTCCTTGACAAACCATTACCCAGAAATAATCAGAACAGTGTAGCTGAAAACAAGTGCAGATTCTTGAAGAGGAATTGGTGGTGGTCCTAAATGATGATGTATGAAAGAGAAGCAAGGAAATTTGATTTCCTTCCCTCTTGCTCGCTCCAGACTTGACTGACCCAATAAAACTGAGTGGAGCAGAAAAATTGGTTTGACTAAGTAAACATGACATGAAAGTCATAAAAGGGCCTACACTTACAATATGAAACATCAGAATGCTATAAATATGTTGTCTAAAGCAGAATGACATTTAGATGACAGCAATAAACATATTTTCTTCATTATCCTCTCTGCCTGCCTTGCTGCCCATTTCATATGTGCCAATATAGTCCTCAGGCCTAGGGATTTTGATGGCCCATTGGTCCTTGGTGAAATGCACTTTGCTAGCATAGTATGTGCTGACTCATTCAGAAAACACATAATTATTTCTCTGTTTTCCCAAAACATACTTTCTTTCAAAAGTTAAGCTTCTATATGGAGAAAAGGTGTCACCTAGCCAAAGGTTAACATTTTAAATTTGATTTCAAAGGATGAGATGTTCTGTCCTAGGAGAAAATCTGGTTATAAATCAATCAGTCAAACAAATAAATAGAAATATATAAATAGGAAAAAATAAATAGGAAGGTGTAAACATATGCTAAACTCTTTTACTTAAATTGGTGAGATTTTATAGATTTAACTTGGGTGGTATTGTGTCCCCCAAGAATAAAGAAATTGGGCCTGTAGGTATGTCTACTCCACAGCTTGGGAAAGTTCCTTTTTTGGACCACAGTTTTCAGGGTCCCCCATCCATCACAGCAACACTGGCTGGGGGATTCTGGGGATGGTAGTTTCCAAAATGGAACTTTCCCAGGCTTTAGTTTGCCACAGACAAATGAGTCACAGAAATATACCACAAACAAAGGACCATTGGTGTCTTGCCACTTGATAATGGTTAAAACTACATGTCATAGTTTCTTGAGTCAGTGGTTATAACCTTGTAAGAAAACACAGGGAAAAACCTGTTGCCTATGGACTTTGTCACACAGGGGAAAAACTGGGAAAAGATGCTATTAAAAAGGCATTTTTCTGGCAAAGTCGCAAGATTGTGGTGAAGATTTTCAGATGACATTGCAATTATCCCAGGAA